AGGTGTATTGCACTGGGAAAGTCTGCAGTCAGGGATCAATTCAAATTACTGAGGAGAAACGATGTTAATATGAGGACTGTGGTGTGTCTGATTCAGACGATGGTCTTTCAATCACTTGCTGTGAATCTGAGAGCTGAACAATGAATAAGGATGACAAGAAATCTGATGCCTTTTTAGCTGTGGTGTTGGAGGAAAGTATTGACACTCTCATAAAGATATGTCTTAGAGAAGGTGAAGCCAGCATGCTCCTTGGAGGCATGAACGACGAATCTTCATCTCACATGCTTTAGGCATGTTGCTTGGGAAAGCTATTCCTTGGAGAAGGACGTCATGCTTGGAAAGATGGAGGAATGGTGAGAGAGAGAGGAAGACTCTCAACTAGGTGGACTGACGTAATGACTGCAGCAATGGGCTTGAGCGCATCAGAGAGTTTTGAAGTTGGCACAAGATAGGACAGGGTCCAGATTTGTGGTTCATAAAATGGTTATGAGTCATACTCAACATCATTTAACAACAACGACGACAACAACAACAACAAATGTGTTCAGTGACACCTTTTCCCCCTAGAAAACATGTAGAGATTTTCCCCCATAATTTTGTTTTTTTTCAAAGAAAAAAAGAAAACACAGCCTAGAGAATTCCCTTCTTTTTGCAAATACAATTTGACTTCACATGTGTATGAAACTATGGAGACTGAAGTTTGCATCATTAGAGGTAATAATAGGAACAAGCTTTAATAGTTGATTTTCATTTTCTGTGTTAAAATGTTTTGTTTTCTGTGTTGGAGAAAATGGGATCATAGCTCCAAGTTGTTAGCTATCCAGTCACATAGGTGGACTTTAGAAAAACTCCCAATTTTCTTCTAACATAAATTATCAGCTCTGAAGCTAAGCTGAGCACCCACATTAAGTGACAGTTAATAAAACGATGATCTTAAACTAGTTCTCTGTTATTGTTAGCACCAATGTATAAACTAAAATAGGGCTCCTAAGAAGCTATTTTGAAAGCTCATATTATTTATTATAGAAAAGCTAACAATGAGAGCATAGTTGGTAGGTACAAGAGAACTATGTTTTGTTGCTATTAGGCGTTGCCAAGGCTGGTCCATCTCATAGTGACCTGACCTCACATATGACAGAATGAAACATTGTCCAGACCACCTCATCTTCACAATTGCTGTTATTTGAGCCATTGCTGTAGCAATGGTGTCAATCTATCTTGTGGGGAATCTTCCCATTTACAGCGGACTTTCTACCAAACATGATGTCCTTCTCTTAGGACAGGTTACTCCTGATAACATGTCCAAAGAATCCCAGGTGAAGTATCAGCCCTCATCAGTTCTGAGTAGCTTCTGGCTGGGCTTCTTCCAAGATGATTTGTTCATATTGAATGACAATCCATTCAATATTCTTTGCCAACACCAAGGGAATCATACTTTGTTTAAATGAAAAACAACGACAGTGAAAAACCTCCAAAACTATCTCCCTAGACTGTTTTCTGGGGACAAGAGTCCAAAGCAGATGATGAAAAAAATGTGGATAAGGTCCTGGGGGGTATCTCCTCTTCTGGGGTTTAGGCTAAATGAATTGGTATGGACATAGCTCATAATGTGGAACAAACATCCAGGGATATTGACCTATGCATAGAATTTGTTTGTACACATTTGTACCTTGCCATTGATTTTTTTTTTACTTACAGATTGAATATGTGTTCCTTAGAGGGAAGAGAAATGTCTCAGGAAGTGAAATCATTACCATTAAATATGCAATAAATCCTTGAAAATGTAGCATAAGAAGTGATGTTGAACAATCCTTTTAACAGCAATTAAGTTATAAGGTACATTCTCTTCACCAGATGTCTATTGTTTACTGGATTAGAGCGTATTTCCCTTGCCAGCCTATGTGACACAGCCTGGCGTCACCTCAGCTGGCTTGTTCATATCCAGTAGTCCTCTTAGCCAAGTCATTCTTCCTGACTCTCTCAGGCTTCTTTGTGACTCACTTCTTCCTGCACAATCTCAAACCTTTGTTCCCAGTGCCCTCTACCTTTTCCAACCTCAGCTTTCATGTCTTTTGGCTTTTCACGTTATATATATATTGTTATGTGCTATCGAGTCACTTGCAGCTCATAGCGATCCTATGTATAGCAGCCCTAAACCCTGCTCTATACTGTGCCAATCTTATTGTCCCTGACACCCCTACCCCCATCACCCCAGTCACTGAATCAATCCATCTCATCGAGGGTCTTCCTCTCCTGCACTGTCCCTCCACCCTCCCAAGCAAGACGTCCCTCTCCAAGGACTGGTCCTGACTTGCAACATTTCTAAAGTATGTCAGACGAAGCTTCAGATTCCTTGCCTCCAAGGAACAGCTTGGTTTAACCCTCTCCACAATGAACACATACACACACACACACACACACACACACACACACACACACACACTGTTGTTCTTTTTTTTATTTAGTTT